GTAAGTTTTTTTTTTTGGTTTCATCCTTATTATGCATGAACATCACGGGGATAAAGTGGTATCGATTGTTACAGAAGCACTGTGTGTGAGAGGAGCACAAATGAACAATTAGCAGTGTCCTTGCTCAAAGCAAGGATCATAAGACAAAACATGAGGTAGATTTATATGCTTCCAGCCTAGATTTCAGTATTTTCAATAAGTATATGGACTTAATTGTTGAGTGCAATTTGCCGTTAAGTGCTGGTATAACTAAATACATTTAAACAACTAATTTTAAATTACATTTGAATGGTTTATGAATTGGATTCATAACCTGTTTGCTTGGGTTGTTTGGTATTCTTGCTGGTATTATTTGTTCTATTGGTTAGGGTAGACACTATTTTAATTGGTTATTGCAAAGAGAAAGTACTTTTTTTTTTCAATAATTTTGTGTTTTAGTTTAAATGAATTATTATTTGTCTTGCTAATGTGTCCTCCATACATTTTTTATTGTGAAAAATTTGTTTTGATTTCTATGAGCTTAATAGATGACATAACAACTATTAATTTTGAGGTCCTAAGGTTTTAAAAGGTATAGTGTTATCTAATGAGTATATTCACATCACATTTAAGTCAGAACCAGCTACATGTTGACAATGTGTAAACAAATAAGCTTGCATGATTTAAAAGTAAAAATATAGATTAATGACCGTAGAAATACCTGGTGACGTGTTTTCATTATGTGGTCTTTCTCTTTGCACACTGCTTTGATTTGTCCATCGAATGCGTTTTCTAGCGTTGTCTGTTATTACAGAAAACAAAAGCAAGCACGTAAGATTTGAGTCACCTTTGATAATCAGTGAAATATCTATTGGTATATTTGAAATGTGTATTCTTTCTGGAAAAATATAGAGTATCCAACTGTTTATTGGCTGAAATTGTGTAAAAAATTGTTAAGTGTTCATTTATTGTATCCAACTATTTGTTTTTTACAAAAATGGGGTGAAGTTTACTACAGCAAAGGTATGTTCATTACTAATCTACACTATTACATAAAAATAGTAGTTAATTGTTGTTGGAATTACCTTGCACTGGATTTTCACTATTTGCTGATTTTCTTTCCTTCATATTACTTGGTTGTGATTTCTGTCCTTTAGCATAGTCAATGTCCATTCCACACTCGTGAAATTGTTCTTTAAAAGTGTCACCTACAGAAAAATATTTTTACAAAGTAACATCAAAATGCATTCATTAAACACTAAGTATTATTTTTTCAACTGGAACATATAAAAAAGACTGCTAATCAAATAAACTCTTGTACCTGTTTGTCTCTTGTATGTGAGTTTGTATTGGGGTCTGTGATGTATGTTATAGACCACCAGCCATTACAACAATCAACTAAAACATATATGAGATATTTAAAAACAACTAATAGGTTATCAGATATGTATGGTTTAGTTTAAATATATGCCTATATATGAATTCTAAAATTTTGTAGATATTTAGTATATAATATATAATAACTCGATTTGCACGATTTGGTTGCAATATATGATTTCATTATGATTTGTAGATATTTAGTATATGTAGTATATAATAACTCGATTTCCATGATTTGGTTGCATAATAATATGATTTCATTATGATTGTTGCAGATTTTGTTGAATAATGGCAAAGGAAATTTAGAGATACTTGAAGATTTCTTATTGATTATGTACTATCTAATTCAAATGGGTTAATATTCGGCGAGCCCAATCCATGAGCAATATTTCCATGACAATCCATGACAATCGCCGCAAAATTTGACCCAATATTTGGTAGAAAATAAAAGGAAATGTACTTAGCCGCATTATATGACAATGTTAACTCAATATTTGGTAGAAATTAAAGGAAAATCTTCTTAGCCGCATTATTTGACAATATTTCTATAAATTTGACTTTTTCATTTTGAATTTTTGCAG